ATGAGCAACAGCTTCCATGTTTGTTCCAGCCACCTAATATGCAATAAAAACAATGGACTTTTCTCTTGACAGTACATATAATTTCTAAAAGGATGTCACTCAGCCTGAAAAGCCAGTATATCAATAGAAACTACATTTAATATGACAAATGAGTCCTATTATCACTTGATAATGTCTTTGATTTGAATGGAAACCTGTCAATTGTAACACAGATAAAGCAAGACACTGAGCAATGTCCAAGCGTGTACACTGCATACAGCTTAGAAACATTTAAAAAGGGCAAATGTTCCAAACTAAATGGGAAAGTTATTTGTGTGTGCTTATGAGGGTTAGCTGGAAAGCAGGCGAAAGTGCATCTTAACAAAGATTAAAGAAAGGTTTTCTGGCAGCTGTGTTTGGAGCAGGTGCCGAAAGAAGTAGTTCCTTTCTCCTTACATGCCTCCACACCAAGGAATGCTGGGAATGCACCACACTTCGAAACAGAAGGTGATACTAGAGAGGAGAAAGCACTGTGTTGGCCTTTTATCTCTGGAAGTGCTTCACGCTGTCTCAGTAGCTCTCCAGTCTCCGTGGGCGAGCGGTGCTTACAGCGTGTCACCGGGGTCATTGTGGCTGTGGGATGTCAGTCAGTGGCCTAGGGAGGCATTTCCTATCCCTTAACACCAGACAGCTTTCTTATAGTATACATTTGTGCCTCAATTCTGTTGCATGTAAAATGGGACATTTAAAGCAGTCATTTTCAACCACTCTGAGAGATCGTCAGGTCACATTAACATCCTCTACAAAGGGAACACCCATCACTTCAAAACAATAACACAGACTACCTTGTTTGCCTCCGTAAACAAACAAAATATGCCCCACAATTTATTCCATGCCAAATATCCCCTTCATGGAGTTATTATAAATCACCCGCATGTTGAGTCCAAGTGATAAATGTTGTTCTCCACCCCCTTGTAAATATTTAGCACATTATTGTCTTGCAAGCATATTATTTAAGCCTGAAGTGACTGCCTTTTTTTACCTTCCAAACACTGATGCATGGATGTTGATATCAATCTTGAATGATAGTTTGATGGTAAATGATGAAGCCCTGATTATAGCTCACAGGTGTGGGATTCTCACAACATTTTGATTTGAGTGTCACGTAAAGAGTAAAAAACATTTGTATTTATTGTATATCTGTTGTAGCACTTTCTTTGCCCTCATGCATCTTCATTCTGACCTGGTCATTTCTAATCTATCTCATGTACAGTGGGGCAAAAAAGTATTTAGTCAGCCACCAATTGTGCAAGTTCTCCCACTTAAAAAGATGAGAGAGGCCTGTAATGTTCATCCTAGGTATACCTCAACTACGAGAGACAAAATGAGAAAAGAAATCCAGAAAATCACATTGTCTGATTTTTAAAAAATTTATTTGCAAATTATGGTGGAAAATAAGTATTTGGTCAAGAACAAAAGTTCATCTCAATACTTTGTTATATACCCTTTGTTGGCAATGACAGAGGTCACACGTTTTCTGTAAGTCTTCACAAGGTTTTCACACACTGTTGCTGGTATTTTGGCCCATTCCTCCATGCAGATCTCCTCTAGAGCAGTGATGTTTTGGAGCTGTCGCTTGGCAACACGTACTTTCAACTCCCTCCAAAGATTTTCTATGGGGTTGAGATCTGGAGACTGGCTAGGCCACTCCAGGACCTTGAAATGCTTCTTACGAAGCCACTCCTTCGTTGCCCGGGCGGTGTGTTTGGGATCATTGTCATGCTGAAAGACCCAACCACGTTTCATCTTCAATGCCCTTGCTGATGGAAGGAGGTTGTCACTCAAAATCTCACGATACATGGCCCCATTCATTCTTTCCTTTACACGGATCAGTCGTCCTGGTCCCTTTGCAGAAAAACAGCCCCAAAGCATGATGTTTCCACCCCCATGTTTCACAGTAGGTATGGTGTTCTTTGGATGCAACTCAGCATTCTTTCTCCTCCAAACACGTCTAGTTGAGTTTTTACCAAAAAGTTCTATTTTGGTTTCATCTGACCATATGAGATTCTCCCAATCCTCTTCTGGATCATCTAAATGCTCTCTAGCAAACTTCAGACGGGCCTGGACATGTACTGGCTTAAGCATGGGGACACGTCTGGCACTGCAGGATTTGAGTCCCTGGCAGCGTAGTGTGTTACTGATGGTAGCCTTTGTTACTTTGGTCCCAGCTCTCTGCAGGTCATTGACTAGGTCCCCCCGTGTGGTTCTGGGATTTTTGCTCACCGTTCTTGTGATCACTTTGACCCCACGGGGTGAGATCTTGCGTGGAGCCCCAGATCGAGGGAGATTATCAGTGGTCTTGTATGTCTTCCATTTACTAATAATTGCTCCCACAGTTGATTTCTTCACACCAAGCTGCTTACCTATTGCAGATTCAGTCTTCCCAGTCTGGTGCAGGTCTACAATTTTGTTTCTGGTGTCCTTTGACAGCTCTTTGGTCTTGGCTATAGTGGAGTTTTGAGTGTGACTGTTAGAGGTTGTGGACAGGTGTCTTTTATACTGATAACAAGTTCAAACAGGTGCCATTAATACAGTTAACAAGTGGAGGACAGAGGATTCTCTTAAAGAAGAAGTTACAGGTCTGTGAGAGCCAGAAATGTTGTTTGTTTGTAGGTGACCAAATACTTATTTTCCACCATAATTTGCAAATAAATTATTTAAAAATCAGACAATGTGATTTTCTGGATTTTTTTTTTTCTCATTTTGTCTCTCATAGTTGAGGTATACCTTGGATGAAAATTACAGGCCTCTCTCATCTTTTTAAGTGGGAGAACTTGCACAATTGGTGGCTGACTAAATACTTTTTTGCCCCACTGTAAATGACCTTTTGGATTTGAAAGAATGTATTCAATTTAATTTTCTTAGATAACCAAGTTGAACTTAAACTTAAAGTGACACTAGGGTCCACTGGCACTCCTTTTCACCTATTTGAACATGTTCGAATATATATAAAAAACAAGATGAAGTTGGATAATGCTTTTTGTATCTGTTAAAAGTCTTTCACGAAATTGTGAGCTGAGAAAATTGGCATAATGTGACTGAATGATGAAATAAGATTAGTGAGCAGAAACTTAGGCGAAGTAAAGAGAATTGCTGTTTACTGAACTTTTCTTTCCTGCATCTTGGCTCAGATTTTCTGGCCCTTAACTCCAATTATATCAATGCACATATTTGTTTTTAGCATTTTCTGTAGCACTGTCGTCTACAGCGGCAGCACGCGCTACATCCTCCCCAAAGGGAGATCTTTTGCTCTTTCGATTCCCTCTGTAGTCTTTTCAAGTTTATTACACCCATCAAGCGTCATTCAGGATGATGGTTAAAAATCAGTCGAAATTTCGAGGCTGCACATGTGTAGACTCTGTGGTCTTAAAATCCCCACAATGCTTTGCGCACGGACCAATTTCCCCAAATCTGTAGCGGAAATGGCGCTCCATTTAAGGCGGGACCTCGCATATGCTGCACACCTGTTAGCCTGTTCCACAATTCTTTGTTTTACGAGGCTAGGAAGGATTCTTGCCTCGCTTCTGAAGCAAGTGACTCGGTAGACATGTGCTACCAAGCAAGCGTCCTCAACATTGAGAAACACTCTGTGTGTGCGTGTTGTGAAAGCCGCAATGCAAATCTGTTTATTTCTATCCCTGTTGTTGCTGCTCTCTGGATACAGTGGCAGTCTTTGAAGTTGATGAGAAATATTTTTGTAGAGAGATGTCTCATCAACTTCAAGTTGTTTTATGAAGGCAATTTAAATATACCTTCATGGACTCTTCCAATGTTCTGTCTGGATTAATTTCCTTTGTTGGTCTCTACATACACCACAGTGTATAAAGTGTGGACGTGGACTCTGTGACGTCACCCATAGGTTTCTGAAGAGCTTTTGTGAATTGGGGGCCTCCAGCTGTCCCCATTTTAGCAGTGACGCCACCATCTAACTAAAAATAGGCGTTGCTGGTGAAATTGGTTAACGACCTGAGAAGGCCCCCACCTGTCACTCAAAGAGGCCACGCCCCTGATAATGCATAACTGTATGCCTGGATATAATTCAAATGGGTTAGTTTTATAACCACCACCACCACCACCACCACCTACCTACAGTTATCGTGACAGGGAAAAGGGCTTAAGTAGAGAACATGCTGTACACATGTTTATTTCTGCTGTAAATATGGGGATTTCAACATGGAGGTTTTGGGGGATTGCTCCCTTTTGGTGGCAGCCTCAAGTGGCCAGTTGATGAACTGCAGTTTTAGGCACTTCATCATAAGCTCTACCCCTGCTTTGACCAGACACATCACATTCAAAAAGTCCTGCACTGGGCCCTGCAGCCAGTCTAGACACACTACAATGTTCCCTCACATTATCTTGCTCATTGATTCGCCCACACTACAACTCTTGTGGTAAACTCCAAGAAGGTACAGAAATATCTTCTCATCAGGCAGAATGGCAGGCTCACTTAATATCTTCTGTCACAGTTGGGTTGCAAATGATGATAATTTTCATTAGAAATTGATTCATCATAAAGCTTAAAGATGTTCAAAAAAGCTTTCTTCAGATGTCTTTTTTTTTATTACAAGATTCCATTTCCATGATAAATCAGCAAAAGGAAACGCATTGAAATGTGAGAAGCTCTAAGTAAGTAAGGAATGTTTTCTTGAAAAAAGCATATTTTCTGTCAATTGGCTAATTATAGAAGCTCAAATTTACGGGAAAAAACTAAAAGTATATCCAGCTCGCTTTGCTGTCAAGCCAGAGCTGAAAGATGAGTTGATTGGTCCATCGAATGAAAGAACATCTGCAGCTATTTGATCATAATTGCTTGCGTGATTATATGAAATCTCCTGAGTCCTGGACTGTTAGACAAACAAGCAATTTAACAATGGGTTCTGAGAAATGTTGATGGTCTCGTTTCCCATTTGATTCACCAACAAAATAATGACCATATCAATGTGTGTGTCTGCTGTAGGGGCCTGAGACCTGGACGCCACCTGCAGGACGACGATATTGTGCCTGAACTGGCTAACATCCATCCCAGAGAGAGACCTGACTGGGAGGAGACAATCAGTGCCATGGTGACACACACACACACACACACACACACACACACACACACACACACACACACACACACACACACACACACACACACCCCCAAAACACGGTCATTGTGATTTTCTCGTTTCTTTTTTGTGAGATGGAGATGGCCCGTGTTTTGAATAAATACAGTATAACCATCAATGTCCTGCTTTCATCGCTGCTGGTAACCTGAAGCTCTGAGTGTCGTTGTGACATGTCAGATGCAGTCAGGGGCGCCACCAGGGATTTTGGGCCCCATGAAAAGATATCACATTGGTTACTTACATTTTTTGTTCTTAATGTTCTAAAATAGTTTGGGTCCCTGTCAGTCACGGGCCCTTAGAATCGTCCTAACTTTTCACCCCCACATTACAGCGCCCGTGCATGCAGTGATAACACCAGATGCCATAATAATGCAGATGCCATAATCTGCTTATTTGCTGCCCGTCACCATATTATCAGTCCGTTTCCAACCCAGTGGATTGATTTGTCTCTCTCCTACTGAAACTGAATCTCCTCTGTTCCTGAAACACGACCACACATTCGTGATTAATGCAGAGAACAGTTGCCGTTCCAAAGCCCCCCCCTTCCAAACCCTTTGCATAGATAGTCATCTTCCTGTCTGGGTACTCCTGTGTCATCTATTTATTTCAGTCCCTCCACACTGGATTTCATTCAGCAGACAGAATCATTCATTATTTCCTTCCCTCACATCTTTGGTGTGGGTTTCGCTTCTTGCATCAACAGCACGGTGAAAATGAGGCCGTCTCCATGGTAACATGCCGAGCCACCCGCGGTCGGCATGGTTGGCCCTATCGCAAGTGTTCACTTCGATCGGGCAACAGAGAGAAAGAGACACCACATTCTCACCAGCCTGATGAATATTGATCACAGAGGCGGGGCTTTAATACTGCATGTCTGCTATTCTTTGTTCAATATTTGATATGAGAGGGACTCGGTACCGGAGGATCATCCATTATGAATGTCTCCGGTGGTTCAGGGAGGGATGACAAGAGCGAATAAACTTAGTGCAAGCTGTTGAACAAATAGTTTCCATTTAGTTGTAAAGCCCACATATTCGGGCTGTGGCCAATTATTGGTTTCATTATTGATTATATTGCCAATCATTTCTTTTAAATTGATTGATGAATTGCTTCCTTCTCTAACATTTCTGAAATTAGAGAAAAATGGTTATCACAATTTCTAGATGTCATAAAATATCTTGTTATGTCTGACTGAAATATTCACTTTATTAGAAAATCAAACCTAATAGATCAGGAATAGATCAACTTTATTGATCATCTGGAACCAGAGCTTCCTGGGTTTTGTTCTTCTGTCGATCGATGAATTGGTACAGTGATGCTATACAGTATATGAGAAGTTAATGTGACATCTTGGATAGATGTGGCGTCGACTTGCTTGTCCACATATGTATCTCTTGTATTTCCCAATTCCATACGTACATTTTAATTTAATTCATATTAATATTGTTCAACGTCTGCTGTCAGAGAACTGAAATATTGCAAACTGAAGATATCAACTGAATAAAATCAGTTAGAACCAAAGTTCAGTCCCCAGGCTCTGTAAATGAAGGGTGCTCTGATCCATCGACTACTGATCAGTTTAGCTGATTTCTCCCTAAATACTTTCATAAGTGGTCTCTAGAAAAGGCTGATCAGAAGCGCAAATTAGATTACGCATCAATTCTAGAATGAAAACACTTTCTATAATCCTCAGCCTGATTCTCCCCCGCTCTTCCATTTGCTCTGAGAGTGACACAACTTGTGGAGATCTGTGGCTCAATTGCATTTCTTTCTTCATTACTTATTCTATTAAATTGTTAGAAATAAAATCTGGAAATAAGAACCAGATTAGCAAAGCAGCATCTAAGAATTTTGAGTTTGCATCTTGATTTAGTGGAGTCCAGCTCCTTGAGCACAGGACTCTGTGTTGACATCAATTATGCTTGTTGCTCTACAGGTGACCTATCATGCAAAATGCACTTTTTTGATGTCTTTTATACATAAATATGTGTCCCTTGTGTGTCAGGGAACTCACAAAGTGTCAGAAAATAAAACCCTCTCTCTTTTCCGACGTACCCAAATCTATAAAAACGGGGGTACAACGGAGCTGATCCAGAGTTGCGTCCGATATGATGTAATATCGGAAATGTGGGCTGGCTTTACACCCACGGCCCTATCAGAAACGTTGCTATGCAACGTGTTTTGGACGTAATATGGTCTTTGTTTACATTTGCAAGCATCACTAACACTCAGAGCTAACCTGTACTGGAGAGAGTATGTGTAAAGAAGCAGGAAATAAAAAAAGGAACTCACCTAGTATACCCGCAAGAGAAAAAGCATTTGAGATCCATACTGTTTCTGAAATAATCCTTCAAGTGGTTTGGAACATGATATGGCGTTTAATCACGGCAGCATTTAGCTGAGTATCTGCAGGCAAAGAGCAGACCTCACTGCTTGCCTTGTCGTGCTCAAAAGGGGGCGGGGCCAGCAGCTACAGACCCAGAACCAGCAGTTCTCTAACAGGGCTGAAACAGAGGCATATAATGGATGTCTAAAATGCACGATCTGTTTGATATTTTGAGCAAAACACATCATAGACATGTTATAATATATGCCTAAAAATAGCATGATAGGAGATCTTTAATGTTGAGGCTGATGTTTAAATGTTTAAAGATGACAGTCTCCGAGCAGATTAACAATTGTTTTTGTCGCAGCTGTTTACATTGCTCTGGACACAAAAAAAAAGTGCACCGCAAGAATGCACCCATTTAATATTGTAAATGGACTGAAATTGCATTTAAATGTACAACCCTGTGTTGCAGAATGACATGAAATGAATATTGTATTCGGAGCAAGCTCATTGTTAATGTTTTGTTGACAGCTGCATTTAACTGAATGAAGCAAGACAAACTGTTTATTTAAAAGAACTTTTAATATGCTGTAAAATAACATTGGGATAGCTTTGGCTGCAGAACCCTGTCATCATAAATAAATATTTAAATAGCTTTAACAATGTAACCCCTGGCCTAAAGTAAGCAGCCTGGTGCTGTGTCAACAAACGTGCACTGCTTTGTCATCAATTCAATATCATACAACTTTGTTATTAAATTCCCCACTCATTTCCTGGCTCCTCTGATTAAACTTTACCACTTCACTGTCTCATATATTTAGGTCATCAAACAGTTGAAGACATCTCATCTTACAGTGAGCAATCCGGGCTGTTTACAACCAACAGAACAGCATCTACTGCTATTTGACTGCCTCTGCTGTTCCAACAGACACAGATGTATTTGTATGCAGCAGCCGTATCGCTGACGTTTGTGTGTTTTTTATTTTTAGGCGAGGAGCGCAGAGATCCCTGAGCTGAGGACGGATCCCCTTATGCGATCCTGCAGCAGCAGCACGGCCAGCATGAAGGTCAAGAATGTCAAGAAGTAAGTGAAGTACTTTATGGAAACCGTAAACGCTATGAGATGGTCAGTTCAATAAAGTTTGAAAAATAGTTACTCTATTTCTAATATATACTATTTTTTACCATAAGCTCTGGCGTACTTGTGCTCTATATTCCATGTGTTTATAATGAATATGGCTGAACCGTTTGAAATGAATAACCAATTACAACTATTTGTGAAATTATTCACGTTTTGGCAATTACATTTTTTTAAGCTTAATTCTCATCATGACATTATCTGAGAAATTATTTAAAATAATTATGGTGTGTTTTCTTTAAGAGGATTTTAACCAAATAAATATGTTTTCTTGAGTCTCAATAAAAATGGTATTTTAACACATTCACAAAAATGGTGCTTCTTGCTATTTGAATATTGCACGAGTCAATATTGCCATTTAGATAAAAAGTGAATGAATTGTGCAGCCCTACTAATCAAAATCATTTTAATACATTTAATGTATTAGAAAAGGAATGCGAGAAAACACACATTCACAAACCTGCCTCTCTTGAACTTCCAATAACCTGTGTACTGTTGTGTTTTCAGACTTTGTTTCACCAAGGGCCACTTCCCCAAACTGGCAGAGTGCGCTCACTTCCACTATGAAAATGTAGACTTCGGCACAATTCAGGTAAATCACTTTTCTCACTTCATTTCTTTGTGGGGACGTATTTCCTAAATTAGATCACACAAGTGTACTCGCATACATCCAAAATGCTGAAGAATGGAAGCAAGGGCTAGGCTGATTGCTTTTATGATTTCAATTGAACTGCCTGTATGAAGCGTGTAGACAAAGCTTTGAACAGTGCTTTTTTCAAAAGACTTGGGTGTCTCTAGTTTTTCTCCTGCAGCGTTGGAAAGATCCTTTTCACAAAGAAAGAAGTATGACTCGTCTCTTCTAATTGACGTCAGGAATTTCATCCTTTTTAGCTGTTGCTGTCACGGAGATCGTTGATGATTCTGCATTCGTTTGATATCTTCCTCCACAGCACGACCTCATTCCTTCCTGCTTCACACACCTCAGCTGACTGAGGCTGTGGCTGACTGTAACTTGTAGGTGTGACAGCTACTTGCCTTCAAATCAAACAAGTAGCTGATGTAGCGTCTTTGGATTCTTATTCATATTGTTCAAATTTCTTCAAAATACCCGCTGTCGGCTCACAAGTATAGAACTGTGAGCTTTCACACAATTCATCCTGGCAGCAGCACTTTGGTGCAACTTTCTCTCATATCCTTTTGCCATTATAGAGTTTTTTATTTCCATTCCCTTAACTATGTTTGGTATCTCCAAATATGTGTTCCCAAGCATTGAAATACCGTTATCAGCTGAACTTGGAAAAAAGCAATTTGAACGTCTTTAAGTTGATAAAATGTTATATTGTAGATTCAATTAAATGGACACTACCATTTGTATATGTTAAGTTGAGTTTACTCATCCAAAGGGCTGTAGAAATCTTTTTATTTTCTCTTCTGTGGCTCTGGGAGGAGCTCTGGAAACCGAACAGTCTGAATCACAACCTGAAGCTATGTGATATAAAGGAAGTGGGTATGAATTGTATTATGGGAAATAACGGATGTTGGAGTACTTTACAAATTGTACTGAATACATTTTTAGATAGATTGGTTCTGTTGATTATACTGTAAAGGATGTGGAGATGGCTAACTGGTTTTAAATGAACTTTTGTTGTAGCAGAACTATAGCATTCTCACATAGACAATGCTGTCATTGTGTTAAAAAACCAGTAGGGGTCAGCAGTCAGCTTAATCTGTTCCACATAGCTGTTGGAAGGGCAGAGCATTCCATGAAAACCTTACCACTACACTATGAGCTTCCCCTGCAGCTTGATGGTCTATATAACAGCAAAGGTTGCACCACAGAAACCATATATCCTTTCCCTGCATGCATTAAGGAAACAGTTGAGTGTCTGCATTCAGTAGATTCTCCTTGAGTAATGCCAGCTGTGCTCAAACTGCCACAGAGCAGACTGTATTACCCTTTGTGCTCGTCATTTTGCTTTCAAGTAGCCCCATCTTTTTGTTTTGCTGCTCTTTTGTTTTACTATTCAGCGCGACTCCTGCCTCTTCTCTCGAGTCGACAGAGCCCCGAGTGAAAATGAACATCGTAGTTGTTGTTGAGCGATTCATTATTCTGTGTTTGTTCCTGCTGTCAATCCGTGCATCTTGTCTCAGCCCAGCATGTTTGTCTGTTTAATGAAGTGGTCTCAAATGTATTAGGCCCAAGTCATTCTGACATGCTATAAATACTCATACATTTTGAATGGATGATGACATTGATGCTTAGTTGAAATACGATATGTAGTACTGCCAACTGTAGGTTCACCTGGTAAAGCTTAGGATGTTGTTTCTGTTGAATTTCCACCAGTAGTTCTGCATTCTACATGGAGCCTTACAGACTGAGTGCAGGGCACTGAACTGAGGCAGGGTTAGTCCTTCTGCTGGAAGACATATTCTTTCGTTTCCATAATAAAAAAAACTTTCCAAAGGAGAATTTGAGTCAGGCAAAGTTTTGTTGTGGAAACATTAGGATCTCACAGTCGCAGAAGGCCAAAGAGGGGGAGCCTGCATTCAGAGCTGTGGCAGTATTTTCTTCTGATTCAGTTTTTTCCGTATTATTCGCAAGTGTTGCACAGTTTCTGAATTTCTGGTAAGAAAGAGGTTAATGTGTTGGATTCTAACATTGTTTTGCGTTTCGTTAGCTCTGATCTACTACTTACATCACACAAACAGTGTATCATATGTGGGGTGTGAGTACTACACAGTATAATGCAGGGTCCCTTAAAGGAAACAGAGTAAGGCAGTACTGCATGTTATTGGGCTGTATGCCTCTGTAAGTTCAGATTCAGAACTCTAGAAAGTATGGCGGTAGGTCAGTTGGCTGGTTTCAAGGTCAAGGTCACCGTGAACTCACAAAACACCTTTATGGCTAGTAAACTAGAGTACTACTAACAAACACCTCTCTGCACAGTGCTGTTGCAATAAGCTGTTTTGTTGTGTTTCTTTTGGCTTTTCAAACCTCTGTGGACTACATGTTTTATTATTGTTTCTACAATAACTACATCATGGATGGAACAGCTGTGCAAAACCCTATCACTGTTTAGTAGACTTTAGAAAATACAATGATGTCATTTTGAATATTAGTACTATAATAGTCCTTATTGAAGTTGTTGACCCCGTCCACATGCTGTTTACATTGAGTTGCAGACGCACTGTTTGTTCTCAAACAGACATTCGTCTCCATTAAAAACCATGTGTTTCTGATAAAGAAGACACTCTTGAAATGTTGCCTACTTTTCCTTTTAATAGATTATTTAGTATTAAGACAACTGAATCTCTTCTGACACTTCACTCTCCATAGCCTCTTCCACTGTGTGAGCCCTGCATGCTACAGTGTGCAGCCAGACACCAGGAAAACAACTTTATTGAATTGCGCACGCCTATTCCCCTGTGCCACTCACTCCTGCTCTTCCATATGGTTTATCTGCAACCTAGCATTTTGTCTCATCTTGTCGCACATACACCACACTGAGGCTCCAGCTCTTACACATTTACTATTAATGGAGAATTTAAAACCACGCAAGTTGATGCTGTCTAAATACTATGGCTCCGTTTTCAACTACTTTTTAGTGTACAGTGATGTCAGACATGGTAAAAGGGGAACCTCACTTAAAGACGTGCTTTCATTATAGTTTCTTTACTGTGGTGTTTCACTGTGTGTTGGTCTGCAGGATGTGGAAAGATGATCACCAAACAGTATTTATATGTAAACATATGCTAGCGAGGATATTTTTTAAACAAGATATGTCAGCCACATTAACTTAACAACTTTTAAATAATCATAAAGTCATTCTTATGAATACATATCTTTAGAGATGCATCCTTTAAGTTGTATAGTTATGCTGCTTGACAATTAAAGTATCAAATCATTCAATTTTGTCAGACAACATAAGAAACGAAAAGACTTTAACTTCGACCAGAATAAATTGTAATTGTTTTCTTATACTTTTACCTTTTTGTGCATTAAACAATGTATCATGAATATATTTAGTTTTGCTTCCACTACGTTCAGGACCAAACAACCGTACTGTAATAAATCCATCTGCTGTTCTTAAACTGATCATGAAGAGATCTTATACTGATCTATAAAAGACATTCATTCATGTTTTTTATAACATGCAATCTATTATTACCACGAACGCTAATGTCCGTTATGTCGTTGCTTGTTAGTTTGTAAAATATCTATGCAAACAGGAATTGGACCAGAACTGAAATGCAAACAATGTATCATTATTTTTCCTTGATCTTGACCAACTTGACTAAACTGCTCCCGATGTCATGAGCAACTGTGTGTGAATGCCAGCTGGAGCAGTTGGCACCTTGTATGGCAGTCTCTGCCTCTGTATGATTGTGTGTGTGAATGCAGATTTGTATATGTAAAGTGCTTTGAGGAGTCGTAAAGACTGGATAAAGCGCTATATAGAAATGAAATCCATTTACATGTGTTAGTTGCAGCCCTACTTTCCATAGATTAGCTACTGACTCAACCAGCAGAGCATTTCTAGTGTATCATAAAGCTGCGTGCCACCGTCTTTCATTATCCTGCCTATATATTCAGGGCTTTACTGTTGTACTAAGGTCACAGCCTGCCCTTTGACACAGAAGCTCTATGGCTGTGTGTGTAGGAAATACAATGCACCAAATCAATCAATACACATTTCACAACCATACACACTGTGATACACACATTTCACAGATGAATGATTAAATAGAGTAACCTGAGACCTTTTGGATGTGTGTCTGAGAAACACCAAGCCAGAGAAGAGCGGGGAATCCAGCATCCAACAACAATCACAGCAATCAATCTGTCCCTAACAGCTGTGAAGGGGTGCCCCCCCCCCCATCTGGACAACAGTGCATGAGTTCACAAAGGCTGTGGTGTTAGTGTGCGGGAGAATGAGAGCAGTATGTTTGAGGACACTCATGCATGTGATAAAGATTGACGTCTCTCTAAGCCTCCTTCTGGCCAGCCCCCTGTGCTGCTATACTGCTGATCTGTGTTTCAGCTGTGTCACCTTCACACTCAGACGGGACACACACCGTCTGGGGGGGACGCTGCTCCACGTTGTGTCCGTGCCGTTACCCCTCTACTCTTCCATCCACCCGTACCTCAGTCACTTCCCTTTCTGCATCCAGCTAGCTGTGATACAATATGTTCCCACTACCCACTCACCCCCTTCACTCACAAAGGAGCAGGAGGGATGCATAGAGCTGAATTCCCTCCCCCAGTGGGACCCTATCCATCAACTGCAGCACTACACTGAGACACCACTGGGCAGCACACACCAGGCAGGCGGCTCTTTAAAGGCACAGGGTTCACTACAAGCAGGATTTAGACAGTTTTCAACGCCAGAATAGTTTTAGCAGTAAAATGATTCACCTGTTAGTGTGGCCCCAACAAACTACGAGCCATTGCCCTCTGTCACTTGTTCATTAAGCGGACCTCTTTCCACTCGCTGTGAGCAGAGGATGATGTAACGCTTGGACTCATTCTGCCCTTGTTAGTGGAAACAAAAGACCAGCCAGCACACGAACACACACAAACACACACACACA